GCACACGTGGGCATCTGGCCGCGCCTGTATACTGTTCGCGCATCGAAGAGCTCGACAGAGGTGTGTGCACGCTTACTCAGCTACAGGCGCTATTGTCATGAAGTAAGTGGTGTCAGCCAGTCACTTCTACGCCTCTCATTTTTTTCGCTGATCGATGAGCGACACTGTACCCAATGTGTACAGCAACATACGAAGCACAGAAAGAATCAATGATCAGGAGCTGAAGCTGGCGCTTGAAGGTGCAAGCTGGCACGATGAGTTCAAAGGTGCGTGATCTCCAAGGTGTGAGTGGTAAAGGTCGGCCACTGCTGACTCTGATTCTCTTTGGCAGACTCTGCATACATCTTTGTCGGAGGTCTGCCGCTGGGCCTAACCGAAGGGGATGTCATCACGATCTTCTCCCAGTACGGCGAGATCCTGGACATATCCTTGCCACGCGCGAAGGAGACGGGAGCAAAGAGAGGCTTTGGTTTCTTGATGTACGAAGACCAAGGGAGTACAGTGCTGGCGGTGGACAACCTCAATGGCGCCAAAGTGCTGGATCGCATCATTCGAGTGGATCACGTCAAGGACTACAAAGGGCCAACCGAAAAGGATGATGAGGGGAACAAGATCGAGCGCACTGAGCCAAGTCGGAATGCTGCACCAGTCGTTCTTGATAGTGAGTGAGGGTGTGCATGAATCATCAGCGCCTCGTTCGTGACAGAACAGGCCGAGAGGTGTGCGGCCCTCTCATCGATTGCATCCGCGAGGCTGAATAGCAGACTATGCCCCGCCCATATTAGCCTCTGCAGCTATGCCATCCGCTTCGAAGTTCACTACAGAGGGCGATCCAGACCTAGAGGACCCGATGGCAGGATACCTAGCACGCAATGGCTCTGCAAGCGGGTCGAGATCTCAAGCTACGGATGATATCGAGAGGCTGGAGAAGCTCCGGCGCAAAGCGGAGCGGGCGCGAATCCGAGAAGAGAGAGCTTTCAAGAAGGAGGGGAAGGAAGGGAGAAGCGACAGCGCTAGAGCAGGCAAGCAAACCTCCGAGAGTCGTGACAGGCGCGGGGAAGGGAATAGGCGAGAACGCAGGAGGAGCAGAAGCAGGAGCGCTGAAGGAGAGTGGAAGCGAAATCCGGCGGAAAGAGACCGCGACGCACGGGATCGGGACAGACGGCGGGACGACGATGGCAGACGCTATGATGGGCACGGAGGGCAGCATCGTCGACACAGATAGGTGCGCAAAATCATCGAAGCTCTTGTGCACGACTCGCGTCAAGCAATCGTGAATGCATGTCCTACAGAGTTCGCTCATGCCAATGCTCGCATTCGGTGTGTCGACTTCACAATGATCTCGCATGCTGTGTCAGGCGCACTGACCGCTCAGAGCTCGAGTCGAAGAGATTGCACTTGATGGTCGCCAGTTCCGCTGACCTTCGACAGTCAAACCCTGTGCTCGATCGCACCATGCAGGATCATTCACAGTTTGTGGCGCTGCATGTGTCTCATGTGTCTGTGGGTTTAGTGTACGTGTTTTACGAAGAGCCCGAAGTGTGTCATGACTGTCGCCAGTTGTGGTTCAGATTCCCTTCTTTCTTCAGGTCTGTGTAAGTGGCGCCTTGGGCGGGCTTGATTTCTAAATCCGGAGCGGTGCGGCTTGTTCCACCTAGTGCTTGAAATTGAAAATTCACGATTCATTATTGATCTTCGATTCTCGAGTCTAATTCAGAATTGAATTCGAATTTTGAATCAAATGTGCAGCAGGAGAAGTCGCACAGGCGGCACGTGATGCAAGCCTCGGCCCGACTTTTCGGCTTTTCCCAGCTTGATTTGATGGTTCTGGTCAAGCATTGGAGACACCCGCGCGCGCCTTAGCTTGCGCATACAGCCTCCATCACTCTCAGCCATTCACCATTCACGAACCCTCCGTGACTTGTTTCTACACCGTTTTTTCGCTCTGGAAACAGCGCATTCATCACAGAAAGCGACAGTCACGAGTCTCGGTCTGTGACCAGCAGTTTCAAGCTCTTACCCTGCATAGGGGACCCAGGCCGACCGATCGTGCACCATGACACCCCGTTCGAGCGCGAGCTGCACCATCTTCTCGCAGCCAAGATCATGAGCGTCTTCTCTGCTAGATCCCCACCTCGCTATCCCACACAAGACACAGCTTCAATCCCGTCCTGCTGCTGTCTTACTGTTGACTATTAGTCAGCGCTCAGCTGCTGGAGCCTCTTGCCGGAAGAGCCCGCAACCTGCGCCGCCATGTCGACTCCAGGTGGCTGCGAATGCTCGAGCATTCCACAATCTGTTCCCCCACGCATTCTGGTCATCGATCATCACGACTCCTACACGCTGAACTTGCTTCCTCTGCTGCTCTCGGCACTCACCCAGTGTCACTCTGATCCACGTTGTCTTGCAGTCCTCTCCCAGGAAGAGAGAGAAAAGCGCACAAGACACATCAGCTCGGTGCTCACCTCTCGCCTGCTCGTTCTGCCACACGAGCACCCATGGCTCGAATCATCAGCATTCGATGAACATTTAGCCAGCTACATCGATGCAATTATCGTCAGTCCTGGTCCGGGCAGCCCGGACGTAGACGCGGATTTTGGGCAGACGCTCAGACTCTTGCGGTATCTTTTTCCGGAAGGCCGAGAAACGGAAGGAGCCAGCAGCAAGGCCATTCCTACACTTGGAGTTTGCCTAGGTCATCAAGGCATTGCGCAGCTGTACGGAGGGAAGATCAGGCGCTCTGCAAATATCAAACATGGTGTCACGTCCCATATCATCTTCGATCTCGGACAGTCAGGTGCGGCAGGCATCGACCTCTTCGAAGGTGTGAACGCTGGAGAGCGGATGGTCAGGTACAACAGTCTGACAGTGGACGAGGCTTGTGAGTAGAGACAGGGGTCAATCTTGCAGACAGGTGAGATGTCCAGCAGGATGACCGCTTACGCCGCAGTCCTGTGCCCAGCCCTGCCGCCGTGTTTGCAACCTTTGGCTTGGGCGACAGACGCTCCCTCTGGGGTGCCTACACCACACTTTAGCGCTGCACTGCGCGAGAGTTCCTTCCCAATGATCTCGCTCGAGAAAGTGAATGCGGGTCGCACTGTGGGACTCGCGTCTGCCCCAAGTGAGCGCGTCTTGCTGGGACTTAAGCATCGGACAGAACCACTATGGGGCGTGCAATTCCACCCCGAAAGCATAGAAACATCACCCTCGGCAGGCACAAAGATCATCTCAAACTTCTTGCGCATGTGTCATGGATTCTGGGAGCAGCAAAATGGTACGTCATCAAGAGTTAGCAATAGGATCGACGCTTGGCTCTCGGCATGCCCGCTGCCCGATGCCCTACTGGCTCACGACACTCGCGCGGCTACAAAATGCACACCTCGTAGCCTTGCGCAGATGCGCAGCGAACATCCACGATTCAAAATCGTAAAGAAGATCATTCGTAGCTCAACGCCAGATGCATCTGCGAGACTTAAATATCGCGATCACGCGGGAGCACTCTTTGAAGCCCTCTTTCGTCCGCTCGGATCGGCAGTCCAGGATGGCCATCCTGCCGATGCCGGGGCTGTTTGGTTCGATAGCGCAAGAGTAAGTCCCGTCATCCCGTTGCATCGCAAATCCCACTCAGATTCTAGTCACCGTTTTCCCAGCCTGGCGACCCCGCAGCAAATATGTCGTACATGTCATGTCCCACTTTTGCGGTAGCCTACCATCGGGAGGGGAAGCAAATTATATTACAAGACAAGAATGGTCGTGCTTTGTATCTGCCCATTGGTGCGCGAGCGCCTCAATCCGAACCGGGCATTCCTGCTAGCCGCGCTAGTACATCTGGTGCTCCCACTCCCAGCAGCCGAGCTTCATCAAATGATAGAAAGGAATTCCAAACGATGCAAGGTGTATCCATGGAGCCGTCATTCTGGGACTGGGTACATGGAGTTCAGCAGGAAATCGTCGGTCAGACTGATGCCGGCGACGACGAATCGAAAATCGGACGCATTACAGCGGACTCGACCTTCAAGGCGGGATGGGCAGGCTACTGGGGCTACGAGATGGGAATCGAATCGCTTGGACTGGATGCTTGTCAAGCTGAAACCCTACGCGACCTTCCTCAAGAGCAAAGCCACCTCTTTGCAGCTGGTCGAGGCGGTCACATCACTCCGCCTGCGGACGAAGCCATGCGGGCTTCGCGTGGCCAGATCCCCTTGCAGAGCAAGAGAGGTTTACCAGACGCTTCCTTTGGCTGGTGCAATAAGGTCCTCTCATATGATCATCGCACGCAAACATGGACGGCGAATGCCCTGATCGCGGTCGACAGTGGAGGCGTGATGCCATCTCGGCCTTCATTGACGCAGCTCGAAGAAGCTCTGCGCAAGCTTTCCAGCTCTACTTCGCCGCCTGCCGCCGCCGTCAAGCTTGGCCTGACCCACGCAGAAGCAAACGTTTGGTTTGAAGATGTCGCGCAAGCGTTCGACAAACTGGAGGCCAACCCAGTCCCGACTGCGCAGCGAGGGCCCGACCCAGTGCATTTGTCTCGGGCCGTCGCAAATCTCAAGCCAGTCGATCCCGCCAAACTGTATGCAGCGAAAGTCGACGCTGCGCGGGCACAGATTGCAGCTGGCGAAAGCTACGAATTGTGCCTGACCACGCAATTTCGTGGCCGGTTACCTGACTCTCGAGCATCTCATCGTTCTGAAAGCTCATCCAAACCAGCAAGCAAGGTGGACATTGACGATCATTACGATCTCTATAAAGCTCTGCGTCTCCGAAATCCTGCACCGTACGCCGCTTACATGCTCCTCCCGACTCAAGAGTCAGACAGTCTGCTGCAACAAAACGGGGGTCGCCAGGCAATTTTGTCCACGTCTCCCGAGTGTTTTCTTCGCGTGTCCAGCTATGGCGATGTCGAAATGCGGCCTATCAAGGGCACCCTGCCACGCGCAGGCTGGGGCAAGGGAGAAGCCGCACGTCGTCCTGGTGGGGCCGAAGGTGTAGAGACACGGACGTGGCGAGAGAGAACAGACGCAGAGAGACGATGTGCTCTGCAAGCTGATCCGAAAGAGAGAGCGGAAAATCTGATGGTGCGTCAATTGAGAACATGTCATTCAAACGAAACCAGCAGGGTTTTCATGACTGAAATCTCGACCTGCATACAGATTGTGGATCTTATTCGAGCAGACTTGCTGTCCTTTTGCTCTGCGCACAGCGTCTGCGTCCCAGCTCTAATGCGGGTTGAAAGCTACGAGAGTGTCCATCAACTC